AAAGAAGTCTTAATTAAACTGGATTTCAATGCAGTTACAAACATTTTAAATACACGGCCCAAGCTTGATAAACTGCAGCAGACTAGAAAACTATATTTCTTTACACATTGATCTACATTTGATTGAAATCCACACCTTCGTGCCCCCTCTTTCTGGGTTCTTGACAGCCCTTCTCGGAAACATAAGAAATCGATAACCGAAGAAGTGCAAAGTTCAGGGCCAAGTGAAGATGGAAAACCATAAAATGTCCTTACTTAATCGCAAAATGACTGCTGGACTGGGCGGAACATGATGGATTAATGTAAGCGGATCTGAGGGGACACACTCGCTGTCTGCAGTGTGAGAATAGAAGGCTGCAGTTTCCTAACACTTAGTTTTGTGATCTTTTTTTGCCGGATCAAAGGAGAATCCAGTTGCAGCTTGATTTTTCGACGCCCGTGGTTACGTGATAACATTAAGTGTGGTTTAATACCATAATACTTGAGCAGCTTTTTTGTCAAAAGTGAAACTACTTTTTTGTGAATGATTTAACAAATACACAATAAAAGCCACCATCTGTTTCACAAGTTGAATGCTTTTAATGTGGAATATTAACAGTAAAACATGTGAGGCTGTTGGTTTGCAATTTAAAACTAGTGGGTGAATGGCGGAGTCCGCCACCAATGATAATGAATACTATGTGTAGAAAGGTCATTGAAGATTTACATTATATTCATATTGTAGGAGAAATGTCTCATGAACTGTGTTAAAAAAACAAAACAGTTTTTTATTTGAAAGAAAATCTTGTCAAAATGATATTTAAACAGTTGTTTTTCAAACTGGAACCTCACTGAAATCATTGAATATATGAAAGATGTAATTTCCAAAATGCTGCACATTCCATTTGTGAAGTATAGCATACCACCTGAGGTGATCCCATTACCAGCTTAGAGAGCTCAACAATGGATATCTTTGGTATCGTTGACAATGTCATATGTGTTTCACATCAAGGGCTTGAACTACCCTCTCCATCCTTTGACCCACTCATTAGATAAGATCAAAATCCTTTTATCATGATGGTTGTGTTTTTTTTAAACACCTTGTCGACAACTGAGAGCTAACGTCCTTCCTTGCATTGCCTCAACATGTTTTGCCAAATCACATGTTTATGAGTGGAGCTCTTATTGTCAGGGACTGCCACTTTAGTATGAGTGAAGTTTATAGAGAGAGTAACAGGTGTCTGGCTGACCCACATCTTCATTTGGTTTCCCACTTTGCTTCATTATTCAGTCATATGCACTCATGCCAATACACAGAACGCCGCTCAAAGGGGCTGCAGCATAGTTTTGTTCCACATTTATAAGTGTAAACCAGTCTTTTACTCCACCAGCGTTCCCTTTATTCTGGCATGGACAACTGGTCTGTGAATGTGTGATGCTGTAGCAGCGCATTGCTGTTGACCATTGCCCCATGAATAAAACACCCATACGAATGTCTTGATGCCACCGCTGCCACCTAAGCCTTTAATGTCCGGTCTTTGAAACCTCGTGGGGAAATCTGATAAAGCAGAAAGAGTGCAGACGGGTGGAATAATACAGTGGTACAGGTCCTGCATGGTCGGCCTCGCAGCGGTGGCGTCCAGTCACTACCCGCCGTGGCCTTACAGCAGAGGCACCGGTGAGTGTCGTTCCACTGCGTCCTCCGATGACTCACTGCTGTTATTCAGCTCTGAATGGCAGGTCAGCGCTGTCTTAGAGAAGTGAAGCTCACCAGTAGGACTAATAAGCTGGTGGAAACCCTGCATGACTGTTTGCTCCTTTTGAACCTCACGTTGACAAACTACATAATTGGTCAAAGAACGGCATTCATCAACTTAACTCATCTAAAATACTTGACTTACCCCAACCATACAATTATGGATGTAATGATCTTTAAAGTGTTGACTAAAGATAGATATCTGATGAGCAAAATGTTATGGTTCTGTGATGTGTAACCTGGTCATATTTAAAGTATTTGGAGCATTTTCATGCCTTTATTACAGACAGTAGAGAGAAATGAACCACAAATGAAGCAGAGTCTGCGGCAGTCTCTTTGCACATCCTCAGAACTATTATTCTAATAGCTAGAAGGGAAGATTTCACTTTTTGCAGTTGCATGATTAAGCTCCTGTTAATATTCTCTAGAGCTTCATAAGAAGCTAAAGACAATCGAGAGCTTTCTCTTTGCATGATGCACACTTTAGCTTTGTCTCAATTCGGTGGGCTGCATCCTTCTAGCCTAAATAACCGCATAGGCTGAACCGAGCGGTCTCTGAAATGGGACGGTTCTGGCCCACGGGGGACTTCCTGCTTCCCTCCCCAGCTTTACCTCCGCTGCTCCCGTTGCCTAGCAACCTGCTGTGCTTGACAGTAAAAGCCTAAAAGCCAAAAAACGTATAAAATACAGATTCATTTCATTGAGGAAGATGAGCCTCACCTTCGGAGCATGATATATTTCAGGCTGAGAAAAGAACATTTCCCAGTTATTTTAAATTCAAATTAAATCAGTTAAGCCATGTACTTTCAGCTAAAAGTAATATTGCAACCTTAAGACAGAGGAAATCAATACATACTGTCAATAAAAAACGCAACAGAAAACACATTTATTAACGTGTATGCAAGGACTTACATAGGATACGAGCTATTGTAACTGTAACCTTATATATATTACAGAATATGTCTACCGTACAGTTGCTGAATGTCACCACACACATCGTTCTCCTTCGGCGTGATGCTGCTTCCTCATCGCTCCCCAAAACAAAACAAAATGTAAAGTTAGTTTACACCACACATTTTTTTAAAGTTCTAAGTATCTTAATTAGGGCTGTCAAAATGAACACGTTAATCGGTGCGATTAATAATGCTGAGATTAATGCGATAAAATATTGTTTGTTTACTCCCGGTGTGCCGAATGATCAAATTTACGAAGTTTTGTGTATTTAAAATACACGCTTTCTAAAATGATTACTCATTACTTGTAAGATTAAATCTTTAGAAGAACAACAAACTTTTAATTGCGATTAATACATTTCAAATTGTGCAAATAATTGGTTAATTTTTTAATCTATGGACAGCCCTGATCTTAATGCATTTCCACTCTTTGATTACGCAGTGCTAATGCATAAAAGGGCTTTCAAATTCCATTTCACTCATAGAAATGACAGAATTCCCTTTTTTCAAATAGAAAAACTGTTCTCTAAAGCTCTTAAATGAATTGAAACAACAGTTTATTCTTTGGTTTCTCTGTGCTTGTGTGGGCGTGTGCGTGTCTGTGTGTGGGTGTTTGTATGTGTGTTGTGGTGGTTTGCCGAGGGCAAATTAGATTAAAATCCGTCACAGTGTGATGTTAATGAAGCCATTATTGATGCCACACCACAGTCAACTCTATTCTTCACTCGTTCCCCTGAGCTCACAGTCATTCATCTCATCAGTCTTCCCTTCTTTGTGCTGATGGGAAATGTGATCACGGAATACACTGAATACACAGATGGCAGAGGGAAACCCGGCTTAAAATAAGCTCCTAAATCTATTGGTGTGTTGAGTTATTTTCTGTGTATACTATTTCAACCTTTATTTAGCAGTTTATTTTAGTTTTTACTCTCTCTTCCCTTCTGTCTTCTTTTATTCCTCCATTACAGAGCGATAAAAGACGATAGCGAGCTTCATGTATCAGTCATAGTTGTCACTCTATAATATATTCCAGTATTTTTCATTCCTATACAGGAGGCACAGTAAGACTCATATGCCTGAGACATCATTGCTAATTTCCATTACTTACACACTCAAATTTTTACTGTTGTTATCTTTTAAGAAAGTACTCCCATCTTATTCTGAAATGAATGGCCCTCCATAACTGCTAACCACGGAGTCTGTGCCTCTGCGCACACCTTCAAAGATTCTCCATGCAGCCAGTCAGCAAAGAGCTCCCCGTAACCTCCAAAAGCTGAAAAAGAAAGAAAAATATCTTTACTTTTAGCATCAGTCTATTTTGGGGAAACAAGATTTAGTTGAACAAGTGTGAAGCGCACCACCAAATTCCCCCTGTGGCTGCATGTGTGCATCAGGGTGTGTTGAATATTCATTGATGCAGACAATCTTCCAGATGATACAGAGAGGTTTTGTTTTCGAAATGGATGCACTGCATTTCCTGTTAACATAACTTCACCAACACAGGATGAAGTTTTAATCTCGGCTGCTGTAAACAATAGGATTACACTCTATTCGTCCATGTAGCAGTAGATATGATAGTAACGTCCATGACCTAAATCTGCATTTATATGTTGTTGTTTTTTTAAATCTTCGCACAGGAGGTGTTCGTTTTGTTCGGTGAGGATTTATTTCAGTGTTTGGCCTAGTGAACGTAAAGTTATTTAGACAATCGGGACCCCTCAGATAGATACTGAGACTTAGTACATCACTGTGTCCTCTAGTATCCCTATGCGCTGTGATGATGTTAATGGTGTAGGTTTCATGCTGCACCCTGGCGGCACCCTGTGAGTGAAGCAAAGGACAGAAACCATTGTGTGCTGCACACAAATCATTGTCCTACTTTGAATAAAAGCTGTGTGGCTGTAAGCGGAATCAAGTCAGTATATGTGCAGCGGCAACTAAAAGAATGACCTGAACTGTCAGTGACTCAGAATAAGATGTTTGTCGCCAGCTTTTGTCCGTTGTAAACGTTGGTACCCAGGCTGCCTGGGGATCGGCTGTTCATCACAAAAAAGGTCAGCTCTCTGCGCTCTGCTGGAATATGTAGAACACAGCATAGTGATATCACACATGAGCGCATTCGAGTCAGTCTATTTCCAGGCAGGCGAGGTAGTTGTAGTGAAATGTATCCACTGAATGACAGGAAAGGTCTGTGACTCATCACATCGCACACAGCAGCTGGTCATGATGTCACCCGCTGGTCTGTCCATTTGTGTGCGTCTTTGTATGTGCAAAACCACACTTATAACCTTTCTTTCATTGTCTCCTCTGTAGTTGTGGCAGCAGAGCCACTGGTCCGAGGCCTGAGGAAACTCCCCGAAGACATCGACTGGTCGTACTCAGGTGTGTAGGAGCCGTTTGCTGCCCTTTCTGATATCGTTTGGAATGGTGAACGATACTCAACTGTAATTGGGCCACCTGGACACCAGGGATTTGACAGAGAGAGGAATGATTTGATGTGCATGAGTGTTTGTTTAAATGTGGTAACAATTATTCATTTTTATGCAAAAGTTATCATACAATTCACAGCGTGTGTTGGTATCTGCTACCGACCCCATAGTGCATCTTACAGGGAAATCAGCCATTCGATATACAGTAAGAGATGGGTTTTACAAGTAAAAATTTCTGTTTTTTTTCATTGCAATGACATAAAATTAGCTTCATACATAGTTGAGAAGAATATATCCTAAATCAATAATAATAATAAGAATAGAATAATAAAACATACACATAAGAACTTGCAAACACAAAGGACTACCACCAACCAACCATCCCTTTGTGGTTTCAAGTCCCAAAGATCAAGTTTCCTCAAACAGACTACAGGGGACAGTTCCATCAGACTTGTTAATGTCTGAGCGAAAATGAAACAATACGAAGGGATTCCAGTAACATCTCCCGTGAGACAGCCTTGATCTAACCCGGACCATATGGTTAGATGGCATCAGCTAACTCAGCGCAGAGCCCCCGCTGAGCTAAGCTGTGGTCCAACATAAACAAAGAGTGGACACTGACAGACCGTGATGGTCCCAGATGGAGAGATTAGCTACTTAATGTTCGGGGGAGAATCAGGAGGAACGATCAGACTCAACAGGTCCTGACTGGGCTAAATGTAGAGCTACTAAACTTATTACCCCAAATGAATTGCTGCTGACGATTGACGCATTTTGTTTGTACAGTAAGTCATTATACTGGATGTTAAGGGCTGTGTGAACCTCAGAGCTGTGATAACATTGGCTGGATGAATTCTAAACTTTAGTTCAGGTCATTTAGCAGAAGGTCTGTGAAAATAACGTCTATCCCCTTTTTGTGCATGACACTTTTTTTCAACATGGATGTTTGGTTTATGTGCAATAAAACAATGAAGCATTAATGGTAGATGAATCTTCAATTAGTGCTATTTTTTATATAAGTGAATACTATGAGTCAACATAACTACTATAGCACACACTTTGTCTGCTGTGTATTGCAATAGAATGTTTATGAGAAGCATGACATCACCCATTTGTTTGTTAAGCAGACTTTTTGAGCCTTGAGTTTGTCATTTTGTCTTAATTTTTCAGAGGTTTTTAGAAGAATTAAATAAAATACAAAATATGTTTGTTCATGAAATGATTAATGAATTCTAAAGCTACAAACAACATTCAAATTTAGTACAGAATCAATTTTTGACTGCAAAAGTATCCACATTGGCTTATGAACTATGTTAATTATGCCGCCTAGCCAAGAGCCAAAGCAGCAGGAATATCAATACACATGTAGCACATGCACTTTTTATCATGCAGATTGTCTTTCACGCCGTCCATCATTAAGATCCATTTTCAGGCAGGAATGGCCCTTTATTTTCCTTGCTTGTCTTCCTTACCTCCATTGGTATTCCTACTCTCTATCTTGTGACCTGTCTTTCTTTCTCTTTACTGCCCCACACTTCTCATTTCCCTCTCTGTTGGGTTTTGAAGTTCATCATCACAAATGAAGGCGACTCTGTGGGAGTCCATGTGGATCAACTGAACTCGGAGCTGCGTGCACGCGTGTACGTGCGTGCACAATCTTGTTTTTCTGGCCAGCTGTGTTTCTCGCCTGTGCACTGAGTCGTGAGTAAAATCATTAACATGTGAAAGAAACGCACTTCATTGTGAGGCACTGCACACAGCTTTTTAGTTGGGTCAGAAGTAGGGTAAAGGGGGAAAAGAGAAATAAAGGGTAGTAAAAGAAAAGAGGGGGGCAGGAGAGTGAGAGAGTGAGTGTCGGAGAGAAGGAGGGTTGAAGAGAAAAGAGAACTCAGCTGAAAGGAAGATAGGAGGCAGAGGAGGTAAGAGTAACATTATGCAACAACAAAAATGAATTCTTTTGAACAAACCACAGCAGGGTCCGCTTATCCAAAAGGTTTACAGTTCTTAATTAATAAAACGTAGTTAGGTAGTATATATTTTTTACTTTTTTTTAAAAGTTCAATACTCTTTTTTTAGTTCTGCTTTGGTCTCCACCAACTCCTGATGTAAATGCTGAATGCTCCCCGGCTAGTTGCTAACTTCTATCTGCTTGGTTCTGGGCAGGAATCTTTTTGCTGTAAATAGCTGCCTGATGTGCTATAAATTGAAACTGAACCACATCAGTAAATTTATGCTCTATAAAACCAAAGCAAGCGGCCGAAAGACACCAAAGTCTTGTGGGTTCTACACTAAAAGAGAACATCTTCATTTCATCCTTTGGTAACATTAACCAAGGATAAATTTAACAAAGCATATTAAAACCTTGATGGCTTCAAATTGTTTAACATTAAACATGCAGTTAAAATGTGTACAAAAGCACTACATTTCATCCTCCTCCTCCTCCTCCATGTTGTTCTCGTTATTCCTCTGTGCTTTGTCTTTAGGGGTCCCTGAGATCCTCCTGCCTGGAGCTCTCCCCCAGGGCGCCGTCTGTATGTGTGCGATCGTGTAAAAGTGGGTGTTTGAGTGGAATTGTGTGCTCCGATAAACCAGTTTCTTGCATGCGATCGGAGGCAACATATTTTGTTTAAGTTACTGTTAAAAGTTCCAACTAATATATCAAGGTGACTACACTGCTACTACTTGTTGTTTAAGTTGTGTTGGGACATCACATTTCTTTGTAAACTTTCAGAGCAGCAGAATATCATGTTGTAATCATTTCGGATTCTGACTGGTTAAGGAAGCTGTTGGACATTCTTGCGTTGGTTTATTAATATCCAATATTATCAGAAAATCTGAAAAAGTGAATGGGGCAAAACGCCCGAGATAGACAGAAATCATGATTTCGACTGCTCCCGTTTCTGGGCCTCCACGAAAGCCTGTCCTAGAGGAGTAATCCTCACTCCATCAACATGAAACTCTTTAGGATTACTGTCCTGGGCTGGGCTGTTAGTTAGATATGGCCTGGCGTCTCCATGTTTTATGGGACTTATAGGGCTGTTAGTAATTTTATTTCATGCAAATCTCAAAATTGAAAGATTTTTTAGTGCGTTATATTGATTTATTTCTTCACCAGTAACATATAAACTGATTTTATTTGGATCAGAACACTGACAGGGGTTCTCCTTTATCCCCAAGTAAAGGAATTGCCAGATAGAACAAATAGTTATTAGACTTTTCTATCATGGGTAGAAAAGTGTGTCATTTTTGGAGAGGAGGCCAAAAACAGCTTCCGAGTGCAGCGGGTTTAAATATGTTGTATATATTAAATGTATGTTATTTTCCAGTAAAACTAGAGATTGGAAACACATCACATGTAATTCTTCAAAAACGTATTGGAAAACTTTTCATTTCATTCAAAATTAATTTACACGGCAGTTTTGTTGGATGTAAATGTAATTTTCAGGAGATCTGGCTCCTCTGCTTCCCTCACCCTTCCTGTGTCTCTCCCCCTTGCTCCTTCTCCTCCAAATAAGTCTTAGCCATGGGCGATGCAGTACTCTCCTGGCACTTTATCTGGGGAACACACATACATAGATTTCTAAAATGAATACTTCCTGTCCATATGAATTCATAACATTGTATTACAAAACCATTTTTGTTCGGTCTAAACGGTCTGATTGGTAAAGAGAGGTACACCGTGTTCACATTAGGAATCAGGTCATAGTCTAGGTGAAATAGCGCGGCACGGTAGAGTAGATGTATCTGGCCGTCATTGGTGCAGCAGAATCATAGGGGTTATACTCACATGAGAGGCTGTGTGACGGCTCCATCTCACCAAACCCCAGAAGAGTTCTTTATGTAAAGAAACACACAGCAATGCTAAATTTGGATCCGTGTGCGGCCGCTGACATTCATCTTACATCCATGTATTCACTGGTTTGTAGATGTGTGACTGTCGCCAATGCTTTGAAGCAATGAAGGTTGTTGTCCAGACCAACATTAGTACCGTGTGAAAAACACAGTCATCTCCATTATTTCAGCAAAACAGGCTTGCCCAACCATCTGTGGGACCGGACTCACTGCGCGGTCAATCGCTTATGCAAGAGGAGATTCCTGGTAGATTACTTGTCGCATTAAACAGCAAAATTGTTTTCCGCCTATCTATAAAAAACAAGCCTCCTCGTATTCCGTCCTGCTGTTACTTTTGTGACCCTTAAGCCTTCAGACTTTAGGATTGATTTCCAGAGGTGGCCTTCCTGGATCATGTTTTATCTTCTCCTTGGAACCTAAAGCTACAGCCCCCTTCCTAAGCAGGCCCGTTCTTTATTTCGCACTGCGTTAAAAAAATAAATAAAGGCCCTATTAAGTCTTTCTTCCCCTTGTGTGATACCACCATATATGCATACTGTATAATAAGTAGATGACCTACAGATGATTAGCATAATCCTGACAGTGAGGAAATACTGTGATGTAACTAAAGCTGACTGGCTTGGCAAAAGCAAGACCTCTAAAGCTGCACAAATGAGTATCTTTATAGAAGCCTTTTTCTGTCAATGAACATTCTGATGTATTTCTGCAGAATATCTCTCTGAACACAGTTTAACCCTGTCAAGCAAGTTTGGTTTTCTTATTTATTAATTCATTTTCTTCAGACGTACAGTATCTTACAGCCTGGGTTTCTTTGGAAAGTTAATATTAATCAATGGGACAATATAGCCGACCCCTGCAGGGGAATGAGGCAGAGGGACAGTGGACGCAGGTGTGCATCTGGCCACCAGCCCGCTGTTCATTTTCTATGGCCAATGAATCGTCAACATGGGAGTGTGGCGTGGAGGCACGGCGGAATGAGCAGTAGCCATCTTCGTCATGTTACGGTAAGGGGCCTTCATCCCTGGCTTACCTTTTTGGTAACATTTCTGACCATTTCGCTTTTACCCCCCCCCCCCACTATGCTTGTCTTGACGACTGAGA